AATTCAGAGACAAACAGTAACTGAGATACCATGACAATTTCAAAGTTTCATTAGCATTAATTTGTTGGTTGATAAGCTCTGCAAGATGAGAAGGGAGAAGTAGAAGGGAAAGAGGAAAAAAATAGATAAATGAAAGACAACAATAGTTTGAATATTTCATTTTATTTTAAAATGTCCTTTTTCAGCCAACTTTTCATTAGCGACTTAAGCTCTACTTCCTTTCTTTACCAATTATCTGATAACAAAATGTCATCTCTTTAATGACCCTTCTCACCCACTGAAATGTTACTAAGGAATAAAAGGGCCATAAGTTCTCTGAAAGGTCTTGTAAACACCTAGTCTTGGACCACCTTTGAGAACCATACACTTGGGGAATTCCTAATAAAAGGAAAACAAAACAGAGGGAGTCCTTTTTTAAATCTATGGATTCTTAACTGTAAGAAGCACTAAGGCCCTAAACTATGTTCAGATACAGTAACTGAATTTCTTAAAATGAATTATACTTGTAACATACACATTTTTACAGTTAAGTAATTTCATTTATTTCATTGTTGAAAAGATCTTACGCACTACCTTTGGCAGCAGCATATTATCTGCAGGTCAGTGTCTTCAAACAGGAGATTAGGACAATTAAGGTCAAGAGATATCCTAAAGCTGTTTAGTGGTGACAATTAAGAACTATTTGCTATATAATTGGAGAGAGTGGATCTTCATTAATTTCCCAGGTTCTCACATTGCACCTCTTGGCTTTCTATATCAGTCGCAATGCTTCAAAGGAAAACTGAATTTTCAAAGCTACAGATTTCTGTCTATAAAGGACAGAAGTGTCAAGAAGTATTAAAAGGCATTGGAAATATTCTAGGACACTACTATATTATCACAATTTGTAAATTTCCAATTCTTGCTATGGCAGAAAATAACTGCTGCTCGGCAAACAGTAAAAGACCAACAGAATAAACAATTTAAATTCTCTTTACTAGTTCTAGATGCCTTTTACACATTATAGAATGTTGAGGAGTATAAAGCCACAATCATCTATTCTTTATAGCACAAATTATAAACACCAAGCAGTTAAATCAGAAGAATTATTCTGGAATAACCATATTCATCCTTCAGTTTTTCAAGTACACATTTACTTAAATATATATTGCCACAAATAAACATAAATTGCCATAAACAGAGATGCTTATTTATATATCTATATAGCATACATGTGTATTGCTACTTTTTATATGACCATTGGCTGTTTCTAATTCATACTGTATCTCTAATTATGCTAAGCAAAAATTAGTATAGTATGCATGGCAAGATTGTATATAAAAAAAGACTTAGAAAAATTGTATGGACAAAAGCAATTTTCAACTAATTGGTATACAGCTATTTTAACAAAAAGGGAAAGCTGGTCTTTAAAATGTACTGATTAGCACTGCCATGTTAAAAAGCTTTTTAACAGCACCCTCAAAATCAAAAGGTCTAGGGGATGAATATATTCCTAAATTTAGTTTTAGTTGCTAAATTCTAAATGGAGGCCAGAACCCTGTCACATAACATACAGTAACTCTACATGTACATGCTTAACAGGATCTTAACACAATTTCCTTGATTCACATTAGCAAAACTTTTCGATAGAACTAGGTTGAAAATTCCATATTAATTTATAATTTTGAAACACTATGTTTCATAACAGTTCCTGGTATAACAAGTTTTTTTTTTTAATTGTTTATACAAATCTCAGAAATGTTTAATTCACTGCTAACAAGAACCCATATTTTTTTTTTCTTTCTTTTTTTTCAGGTGAGGCAATTGGAGTTAAGTGACTTGCCCAAGGTCACACAGCTAGTACAGTCAAGTGTTTGGTCTGAGGCTGGATTTGAACTCAGGTCCTCCTGACTTCAGGGCCAGTGCTCTATCCACTGAGCCACCTAGCTGCCCCAACAAGAACCCATATTTAAACAGTCAAAGCTATTATGGCTGTGTGCTTAGCACTGCCTAGACCTTAACTGATAAAAAAAATGAGCTGCTTACAAAACTGAACTTTAAACTCTACTGGTAAGTAATGTTTACATCAATTCAGCTGCCACCAGTGAACTTGTCCCTTCACTAAGGAGTCTACTGGCCAAGCTTCAGGTTACTGAGGGCTTAAGCAGATGGCAGGAAGAATGCTGCTACAATCAAAAAGAATTTATTAAATTTTTTAACTTGATGGGTAACAAGAAACTTCCAAACTAAATTTAGCCTGCCATGCAATCTCAATTCTAATCTGTAAACTTGTTACAAATATATTCAAATAAACAAACTTGCTGTTGGGAGTATACATAGATTACCTGGCAAATCATTTTTACCTTAAAAATTAACAAACAATTAACTAGTAAAATATTTCTCATTTGTATCACCTAGAATAATAATTTTAGTACATAATCATACAGCACAATACATGACAATCTCTGATATTTACACAGCACTTTACAGTTTAAAAAGCACTTTCACACACATTAACTCAGTTGATCTTCATAGCAACCATTTGATCCAGGCAGGGTAGGTGATACATTATCTCAATATTATAGATAAGGAAACTGAGGCTCAAGAGAGGTTAAGTGATTTACCCAAATTTTACAAAGCAAATAAACATCAGAGCTGGCCCTAGTAACTTAGGTTTTCTGACCTCAGTTCCAATGGTTTTTCCACTATACCAAGTCTAGGAATAAGATAAGATCAGGCCTTAAAAGGTCAAACTACTGGGCACAAGCATGGTCCGAACATCACCAAGTTCTTAATGGAATATCAGTGATTTTGGGCATGTAATTTCACTTTCGTGGACCTCAGGTGCTTCACCTGTAAAATGAGGAGACTGGATTAGATGCCCTCTGAAATCTCTTCCATCTCTAGACCTATGATCCTAGGATCTTACATATTTTTTCTTTAAGTCAACATATGTGAAGTCACGGTCACCTGCAGACACCAAATTAGCCTTAGCTTTATGGCTACTCCACTATCATTTTACTGACACCAGGTAGAGCAATGAGCTGGAAGTACGTTCTTCTGTTCCTGATCATGTAACTATGCGACCAAGGCCAAGCCGGTTCATCTTCCCATACCTTACTATTTCCTCTTCTGTACAGCAGTGATGACATTTTATTCCTGAGAGCTTTAAAGAATGCTGAGGTAAAGCTGATAATGCACTTTTGAAATGGAAGGCAAATAAAAATAGTCAACTCAGTTATCTATGTTACTGGAGGTGAGCAGAAGCACAAATAATGCAAAATGACAATTATTTAATTTTTGTCTTTTAGGAATAATCTTTTTGGACTGTCTTTTACAGGCACTTATCCTTATATCCCAACCTAACCCTGCCCTGTAACCAGCCCAGGGTCAAACCTATTATTTGAAAGTAGGTGAATGCCTTCTTTGATTTTCTTTAAGCCAACCATTTAGCAAAGTGCCTGGTACTTAATAAGAATTTAACAAATACTTGTTGACTATGTGAAAGAAGGAATGGGTCATTGAGATGGATCCACAAAACTGACATGCCTCCAGTGGGCTAAGTGGATTATATAAAATATTTATAAATGTTAAGTAAACCTTACAATGCATAAACTAAAACTGAGTATAACCTATTACAAAAATAAAACTCTTTATATAAAGCCAGACAAACCTATTACTTTTTTTTGGGGGGGGGTAGAGGGGTGAGGCAATCCGGGTTAAGTGACTTGCCCAGGGTCACACAGCTAGTAAGTGTCTAATGTCTGAATTCGGATTTGAACTCAGGTCTTCCTGACTCCCAAGGCCAGAGCTCTATCTATTGCACCACCTTGATGCCTCAAACCTATTACTTTTAAAAGTTTTAATGTGGTCTCAGGAGAGTTGGATACTGTCATTCATAAAATCAGGGAAAGTAACCCAAAATACCATGAGTAGGGCTAGCCTACTAATCTACTGGCAGGCCAAAACCAAATGCAAGCGAAAAGGAAACAAGAGAATGGCAACATTCTTCTAGTGGCACATGATGCTGTAACTACATTTATCCCCTGAACATATCCTGTTCCTTCGAAGTATTAAAGAGCCCTGCACGGAAAGATACAGAGGTACTAATTTGTTCCTTCTGTTTCACAACTGAAGAAAGTGTTAAGTGATTTGCCCAGAGTCCCATAAGTAGTGACAGAATCGAGGTATGAAATAATCCTTTGGCACTGAATGATAGTCTATTGCAACATCCTCATTTTACAAAGGAGAAAGTCACTCCTGCATAGCTTGAAAACTAAGTCAGGGAGCAGAGAGGTGGTGCAGTGGATAGAACACCGGCCCTGGAGTCAGGAGGACCTGAGTTCAAATCCACCCTCAGACACATGACACTCACTAGCTGTGTGACCCTGGGCAAGTCACTTAACCCCAACTGCCTCACCAAAAAGAAAAGAAAGAAAACTAAGTCAGGCCGAAGACACCTATTACTTCCCTCCCACCTTGGTGCGCAAGAACTCGGGAAGCCGGGCTAGACAGATAGGAAACAGGGAGCTAGTTCAGTCGACTATAAACTACTCCGTTCTGAATCCCTGGGCACGTTCCTCCTCTCTCCTCCCCCTCTCCCTTGGCCTGGCACACAGTAGGCACTTAATAAAGGCTTGGAGATTGTTGGGCTGCGCCCTCCCGCGTGTCCGGGTGTCCCGCACAAAGTAACGAGGTCCCACACGCAGCAGGCACAGGGGGCTCTGGGAGGAAGAGCGGGAAGGGGCCTCGGGGCCGACCTAGCTCAACACCCCGAGGGACAGAGGAGGAAACTGAGGCCACTAAAAGTGACAGCCCCGTGTCAGGATCGCTCCACACACTTCGTCTCACAAGAACTCCGTCTACACAGGCCTCTCCTCTCAGACGTCAACGAATTCGCTCAAATTCCCTCCCCATCCTCCGCCCCACCGACCCGCCGTGATGGGTTTCTCCTCCCCGACCCTTTACTTCCCTCCCTCCCTCCGAAGTCCACGCCATTCTTTCCCTTAGAACCCACCTACCTGGTTGCCAGAGAGACCATGATAAATCAATTTTCCCCGCCCCAAAAGGAAGTTGCGCAAAGCGTTCAGGAACTTCCGCCTCAAGGGGGACGGCGCATGCAGGATTTCCGCCCAATTCCGGGAAGGGGGAGAGCGAAGAGAACGTGGCCCACGTGTGTACGTGCTTGAGAGTGCGCGAGCGAAGGAGGACGTCCTGCCGCCCCGAAGCCCGACGCCCAAATCCCGGAGCTAGCGTTCCCAGGTGACTCCGCGCGGCCCGACGTCCCCGCCTGCCCGCCTGTGACGTGTGCGTGCGTGGGGCTGGAGACCCCCACCCACCCATCCCACACCTCCGGCTGAAAGCTCCGGCTCCTTTTAGGGTCCTTCGGTTTTAGAGTTCCCCGCATACCTCGAGGGAGGATCCTTGTCGTTCGGGTTCCGTTCTAGGTTGGGGCCGGAGCGGGTAAGGAACCCGGGAAGTTTAGCCCTTGGATTGAGAACGGGAGCTGCCATCTCTTATCCTGATCTCCCGTTTCACCGAGGCGGGCGGCTGGGGCCTCTCACCGGCCAGGAGCTGGACGGGACCGGGGGACAGGAGGACAAAGGGAAAAATAAAGAGTTTCGGAGGGGAGGGACATCTTTGAACTTGGCCCTGACCCTAACGGAGACGAATGGGTTAATTTGTTAACTATCCATTCCCTTAAGAGGAAATGACCGGGGTGGGGGGGGGAGGGCGGGGAGCTAGGTGGTGCAGTGGATAGAGCACCGGCCCTGGAGTCAGGATGGACCTGAGTTCAAATGCGGCCTCAGACACATACCACTTACTAGCTGTGTGACCCTGGGTAAGTCACTTAACCCCAATTGCCTAAAAAAAAAAAGAAAAAACAAGAAGTGACATGTTTTTCATTTGCTCTGCCCAGGCAACCTAACCCAGTGAACTGAGGAAGAAATAGCTGGTTTCATCTTCTATCCCTTGCCAGTCATTTAACCTCTTAGAGTTTTTGTCTTATATGTAAAATAAAAATGATCTAATAAGGTTATGGTGAGGTTCAAAAGGAGATTATATAAAGTTTTGAAAACTTTAAAGCCCTGTATAAATGCTATTACTATTAATAAGCAAACTGGGTGAGAGTTTTCTTCCACTAAAGTAATCTTTTAAAATTCCTCTCTGCAATCTAGAACCCCACATTTTTGTAGAACCTTAAATATTTTTGACTCAAAGGCCTTTGAAAAGTTGTCAAAATAACAGTCGACATTTCTGCCCCGGAAGCCCAGACCCAGAACTGCTACAGTTGCAATTCAAGTTTGAAGGCTGTGTCAACTTGAAAAATTTTACTTTTTCTAACCCTGCCTTAACCTTAATCCAATGAAGAGAGTAATCTTAATATTCTTCACAGATACAGTGCATGATATAGTATAAACATAAAAATAACCTGTAGTTTCAGTTGTGGCAAAGATAAAACAGTACCAGTCCTCAAGAAACTTAAAACACCACTAGGTTAAAACAACATGTACATAAATAACACAAAAACTATACATATATGTAGCAAGTACTATTAGAACTCACTTTTCCGGAACCAGGATGCTATATCTTCCCCTTAAGATTCTAGGGGTACTCCTGAGGGATTTTGGGGTATTTCTAATGACATTGGCTCAAGCCCCACTGATTTCATTCTCCCCCTCCCTTATCCACCACTGACTGACTAGCACCCCAGTTTCTTTTTTCCAATTAACATCAATTAGCTTTTACAAAAGCATAGTCAAAGATGTGGCAAGCATTTCCTCCAACACCTTTGGTGTTATGTTGTTTTTCAGTGGTGTCTAACTCTTCCAGACCGCATTTGGGGTTTTCTGGGCAAAAATACTGGAGTGCTCCAGCATCCTGTGGGGGCACGATTTTCCCCATATTACCTTGTTGTCTGAGAAGACTGAGCTTAGATTGAGCACAGTCTATTGTTGTTCATCCTTCATTTAGAAGAGGACCAATGACATCACAGGGTGATATCTAACTCCTGTGTAAATTGGATATAAGTGAAGCAGAGTTGCACAAAGTCGTTAGCCTCTCTTCCAGAGTCATCAAAGGCCAGTGGCAAGGCAAAAGTCAAGACCACTGGTGATAGCCCAGGATGCAGTGGATAATCTTGACATCTTCATTGTCTGACCAAGCTCTAAGTGCTCCACAGCACCTGCTTCAGCCCCCTTCATGGCTGTTGAAACAATTGTTCTCATCCACATGCTTGGGGTAGACACCCCTCTAACTCAGCAATGAATGTGAGGCCTGTAGTTTAACTCAACCTAGTTTAGCTCATTCTGCTGAGATCATTTTACCAGGTTGTGGCCACTGGGTATGCTACAGCTTCTTGGAGCCACAGCCAAGAGTTGGGTGACAGGTGGACACCAGTGAATGACCAGTCCTCAAAAGGGCTTGTCAAACCCTAACACCAGAGGAGCTAGTCCTCCCTGATCACCCCATACACCCCACACAGTTTCTACATGGCATTAGTCTCACCAAGTTCACATCCAGAAGCAACATGATTATCAGATGATCCTTCTCATAGTTGCCACCAGGCTGGATCTTGAAGGTCATGCTTCCATCCTGGAGCATCCATGTCCAGCAGGCTTTGAAACCTGGAATAGACAATTTATACATTCCCCAGATGCCCAAATCCCTAGAAAGCTTGTTCTCCTGACCTTTTGAAACTCAGAAGGTCTAAGCCTCCAATTTCTCCTAAAATGAAAAAATGCCAAGGTAGGCAAGGAACCTAGAGCTATATTCATGGGTCCACATCAGTCTCAGGGAGTAGAGCCCCGTCTCTGATTGCATTGTCTCTTACTGGACACTGCCAGCAAAAGAGTCAAACCAGAAGCAGAGATCCAACAAGAAAATAGCTCAAGTCAAGTCAGTGAGCATTTATTTATTAAACACCTACTATGTGTCAGGCATTGTGCTAAATCCTGGGATACAAAGAAAGACAAAAATAATCCCTGCCTTCAAGGAATTTACGATCTAATGGGGCAGATGACATACAAACAACCATGTGCGTAAATTCAGTAAAAATTGCAAATAATCTCAGAGGGAAGGCACCACCATTAAGGAGGACCCAGAAAGGCTTCTTGCAGAAAGTGATGTTTTAGGTGGTGCAGTGGATAGAGCATTGGCCCAGGAGGCAGGAGGACCTGAGTTCAAATCCAGCCTCAGACCAAACACTTGACACTTACTAGCTGTGTGACCCTGGGCAAGTCACAACCCCAATTGCCTAAAAATTAAAAAAAAAAAAAAAAGTGATATTTTAGCAGAGACTTTCAGGAAACCAGGAGCAGAGATGAGGAAGAAGATTCCAGGCATATGGAACAGCCAGCGAAAATTGAGTTAGAAGATAGAATGTCTTGTGTGAGAAAAAGCAAGGAGGATGGTGTCACTGGATCAGAGATCTGTAGAGGAGAATGAGATGTTTGCTGAAGAGAGTGAATGGCTGACAGGGCCCCCATCTCCAGGTCCACAATTGTAGCCAGTCAAAGAGACTGTGGTCCACCACATTGTTATCACGCTAGAACCAGTTACAGAATTTCTTTGCATGCTCCATAGTCTGTCCGAGACACTTCTGTTACATGTCATTACAACTCTCCTGGAAGTAGTCAGTAGTCAATAAACCTTTATTAAGCACCGAGTATGTGGTAGATTGGGCAGCTAGGTGGCACAGTGGACAGAGTACCAGGCCTGGACCCAGGGAGATGTGAGTTCAGATATGACCTCAGACACTTACTAACTGTGTGGCCCTGGGCAAGTCACTTAACTCTGTTTGCCTCAGTTTCCTTATCTGTAAAATGAAGTGTAGAAAGAAATGGCAAACCACTCTAGTATCTTTGCCAAGAAGACCTCAAAGGGGGTCATGAAGAGTCAGACATGATTGAAAACTACTGAACAACAATTACAACAAAAATGTGCTAGGCACTGTGCTAAGCAGTAGAGATACAAATATGAAAAAGAAAGACCTTCCCCTCAAGGAGCTTATAAGCTATTGAACTAGGTTCTCCAGCCTCTCTCACACCAGTGAGTAGCATTAGAAGTGCTCTACCCATATGCCAGTTCCCATTACATTTTCTCTTTTTTAAACATTTGGGGTTAAGTGACTTGCCCAGGGTCGCACAGCTAGTAAGTGTCTGAGGTCAGTAAGTCAGGTCCTCCTGACTCAGGGCTGGTGCTCTGCCCATTGTGCCACCTAGCTACCCCCCATTACATTTTGAAAGCTGGAAGAGGACTCAAAGATTATTATCACTCCACCCACATATGCCTAATAGCCAATATTTATATGTTATGCTACCTTAATGTTTGCAAAGTGCTTTACAAAGTGTCTCATTTGAACTTCATGATAACCCTGTAAAGTAGGTGCAATTATTATCCCCATTTTACAGATGAAGAAACTGAGTCTGAGAGGTTAAGTGACTTGTTCAGAGTCACACACCCCAGAAAAGGAAACCATGGTGTAAGAGGAGTGTGAGACTTGGGTGTTAGGAGCCACCTGGAGCTTCTGTCCTTCTCAGCTGCACTTCCCTGAAACATCCAGGAGTTAAAATGGGGCTCATCCTGTAATTTAGACACATTGCATGCTTCAGAAACAATCACTTCTATCAAGAAATATGAGAGAGCGGAGTTACATATGAGTGACTGAGTTTCTTCAAGTTGTTATAAAAGTAATCAACTTTACAGAAAACAGTCCAATAAAAAGAAAGCTCTTTGTAAAATTGTAGGACCACATGGAGTCAGGACATATGGCACCTCTATGTTATTTGGAAACATATTGACTTTCTCATACCAAAGGACCTGAAAGGATGTTTGAGCTAAAAGAAGAAATTTACATTTCTCTTAGTGATGATGAGAAAGACAAAGCAAATTAATTCTATTGCAACAAAATTCTCCCCCTGAGACTTGCCTATCTGGTTGATTTTTTTTAAATTGAGTTCCCTAAGTCAATTATTGCAAAGCCTTCAAATTCCTATTCTGATGCAGAAGGAAAAAGTGATATGTTTATGGAAAAGAGCTATGAACAAAAAAATTACAAAATAATGTTTTTGATATGTTTCTCAGTTAAAAAAAAATCCTATCCTGCAAATGAACT